TATAACGGAAAAAAACTCAGTGCGGTCTGGGTTCCGGTTCTGTTACATGTTACATTTCTACATTCAGCTGAAAACGTTTCCTCAGCTTTCAAATTTCAAAATGTTTACAACAGGCGAACGCCTTCATTGCACCACACAATGTTTCCACAGCTAGATCTAAGCTGTCCAATTTTTAACGTTTGCTGTAGGGAATGTCCTGTGTTGCACCACAAAGCTTGTGGCCTATTCTATTGCTCCAGTAATCAAAATATTTGAATCTATATCTGCCTGATACTAGACTGTAATGTTTATTTTCCTATCAGGTCAAGTGATTTGTAGCTACTTCTTGTCTCATTTGCTAAAGCAAAGTTTAGTGTGCAAAGTGCAGTATCCTATAGTATCCACTTATAATGCCCTTTCACACACTTGAGTACAGAAAAGAAATCTAGGTGGTTTCTGCAAACTATTGTATTTTGAATATTGTGGGTGATTAGCTTCAAGCAGTGACCATGCAGAGAAGAGGTCTAGATGCCAAAGTATATTTCAGGGCTCCCTGCTCATATTTATTCATTGACATTGCAACAAACACAACCGAATAAAGAGGTTCCCTGGTAGGGGGCAAGTTATCACAATCCAATGAACAACAAAAAGTTATTTAGCCTCCTGGCTACATGTGAGAGCACACAGAGCCTACTCAGACCTGCAGTGATGTTCCTTCCTTTCTCCAACACACACTGACTGTTCATCTCAGGAAAAAAGGCACATTATACCCCAGGTGGCAGAAAAAGTGTGGCAGGTGCCTAACCTCCCGTATACTCCTGAAGCCCTATCTCTACAATCATTTTATCTTCTGAAACGCTACAATGTAGGCAGCAGGTAAACTCCATGCACAAATCTTTCCTGGACTGACAGAGGCATTTTGTCACATTCTTTACATAATCAGTTTAAAACACATTTTCTGTTATAATAAAAATAATATATGTGCTTGTCAAAAACAGAATTTATTGAAAAAATGTTAGGAACGTTAGGACAGTTACATCAGCCTTCTTCTGTTCGGAACACTGTATGTACTGCATACAATATAGGAGGTTTCCTTCCATCTGACTCAAACAAAAGTATTTTTCCTTCAAACTATCATATGTAAATAAATCACCCAGCTGCAGTTCAATAAATGGCTGATTGAAGGATGGGTTATACACAGTATCTCACAGAAGTGAGTACACCCCTCACATTTTTGTAAATATTTTATTCTATCTTTTCATATGACAGCACTGAAGAAATGGCACTTTGCTACAATGTAGAGTAGTGAGTGTACAGCTTGTATAACAGTGTAAATTTGCTGTCCCATCAAAATAACTCAACACACAGCCATTAATGTCTAAACCGCTGGCAACAAAAGTGAGTACACCCCTAAGTGAAAATGTACAAAATGGGCCCAATTAGCCTTCCCTCCCCGGTGTCATGTGACTCGTTAGTGTTGCAAGGTCTCAGGTATGAATGGGGAGCAGGTGTGCTAAATTTGGTGCCATCGCTCTCACTCTCTTACTGGTCACTGGAAGTTCAACATGGCACCTCATGGCAAAGAAGTCTCTGAGGATCTGAAAAAAAGAATTGTTCCTCTACATAAAGATGGCCTAGGCTATAAGAAGATTTCCAAAACCCTGAAACTGAGCTGCAGCACAGTGGCCAACACCATACAGTGGTTTAACAAGACAGGTTCCACTCAGAACAGACCTCGCCATGGTCGATCAAAGAAGTTGAGTGCACGTGCTCAGTGTCATATCCAGAGGTTATCTTTGGGAAATAGAGTGCTGCCAGCATTGCTGCAGAGGTTGAAGGGGTGGGGGGGGTCAGCCTGTCAGTGCTTAAACCATATGCCGAACACTGCATCAAATTGGTCTGCATGGCTGTCGTCCCAGAAGGAAGCTTCTTCTAAAGATGATGCACAAGAAAGCCCGCAAACAGTTTGCTGAAGACAAGCAGACTAAGGACATGGAATACTGGAACCATGTCCTGTGGTCTGATTAGACCAAGATAAACCTATTTGGTTCAGATGGTGTCAAGCATGTGTGGTGGCAACTAGGCAACTAGAATACAAAGACAAGTGTGTCTTGCCTACAGTCAAGCATGGTGGTGGGAGTGTCATGGTCTGGTTCTACATGAGTGCTGCCGGCATTGGGGAGCTACAGTTCATTGAGAGAACCATAAATGCGAACATGTACTGTGACATACTGAAGTAGAGCATGATCCCCTCCCTTTGGAGACTGGACCGCAGGGCAGTATTCCAACATGATAATGACCCCAAACACACCTCCAAGATGACCACTGCCTTGCTAAAGAAGCTGAGGGTAAAGGTGATGGTAAAGGTGATGGACTGGCCAAGCATGTCTCCAGACTTAAACCCTATTGAGCATCTGTTGGGCATCCTCAGATGGAAGGTGGAGGAGTACAAGGTCTCCAACATCCACCAGCTCCGTGATGTCATCATGGAGAAGTGGAAGAGGACTCCAGTGGCAACCTGTGAAGCTCTGGTGAACTCCACGCCCAAGAGGGTTAAGGCAGTGCTGAAAAATAATGGTGGCCACACAAAATATTGACACTTTGGGCCCAATTTAGACATTTTCACTTAGGGGTGTACTCACTTTTGTTGTCAGCGGTTTAGACATTAATAGCTGTGTGTTGAGTTATTTTGAGGGGACAGCAAATTTACACTGTTATACAAGCTGTACACTCACTACTTTACATTGTAGGAAAGTGTAATTTCTTCAGTGTTACATGAAAAGATATAATAAAATATTTTACAAAAATGTGAGGGGTGTACTCACTTCTGTGAGATACTATATCAAGGAGTTGGGCTAATTTTAGCACCATTGCATTTCAAGGAATACAAAACATTTTTGGCATGAGCATGGTCGTGTAACTCTGAAGCTAACATTTATAGAAGGGTCCTTCATCAAGAATGAGAGAAGTCAAGAATGTTCCCGTGCGGTGCAATTTTGCAGCCACTCACTAGGAAACTAGGTGGAATGGGGTGCTTAACGAGTCTAGCAAGTAGAAATAGTAGGCTGCTCGCTTGACAAAAGAAACGTCACAGCATCTCATCTGTATATACAGTACATGGGGTAAAAAAAAAAAGGAATGTGAGTTTCAACTCATTCAGGTTTATCTTCTTTTTATGGATTATTAATATTTTTTGACAGGAATTCTGCTCTTATACCATATGCTTGTGATAGAACTTTCACCCTAACATTTCAGTGTAGTGTTTAAGAATTAGAACAAAATCTATCTTTGCAATGGGCCCTGTCCCCCCCTTCCCCCAAGGGTCATATATTTATTATGTCTAGGAAATACTTACCTTATTTTGTGCTCCAGCAGAGTCCCTCCAGTGATGACTGGTCCCCCACAGCCTTTTCTCCACTCTAGTAGGGCACTGACCAGCAGCACACAGATAATTTAATAAAAATTTGTAATTCGGCAATAATTACCTAGGCTTGCTAAATGAATTCTATAAGTTTATTATAGCTATATAGCACCACCTTGTAATGCGAACAGAATTTTACATTTCACTTATTAAACAGAAAAATTGCCCAGAATAAAATGGATACCTTTGTTCTCTCTTGCAAATCTTCACACAATTCCAAGGTTTCTGATGCTTTCAGGTCTTTTAAAACAACTCTTGTTTCTCCTATAAGAGTGTGTCTGGAATACTTGTCAAAATCTTTGACCTATTTTACAAAATAAAATAAGTGAAAGTAAAGTTTAGTGATTATCCTTAGAAAATAAACCCATTAAATATTTACTGCAAGATGCTGTTGCTTTAATCAATTTGCTATTAGTATTGATTTATTTCTTTATTTAGTTCCCTTCACGATGAAACAACTCTTAACCCCTGAACAAAGTTTGCAACTTTGTGTATCTAGGTGAATTTTACCATTTTTCCTTTTTTTTTTAAAAACAAAATGGGCTTTCATTTGGTGGTATATGGTAATGGATCCAATTTTTTCTACTATTGAAAGAAAACATGTACAATTTAGTAACAAAAACCCCCATTATTTCAAAATAAAAAACTGCTGGATTTCCCATCACTTTCTGTTGAAAAACAATGGGTTCTAGGGCAAAAAGAAAGGGTGAATCTCTCCAGACAGCAATAAAAACCTGACTGAGGTTATAACTATTCCACATTCTACTGCAGAAAAGAACTGAGGAGGGTGAAAATGCCTAGTGCATTACCAGAGATGTGTTATGTTTAAAATAAAACAAAATTAATACTCACAAAGACAGTGGACATTTAAGCAGAGTGTCAATAGGATAAAATAAAACAATATCCGCGCTGACTGACAATACAAAGCAGCTAACACAAATAGGTAGTATAAAAATCTAGAAAGTGACTGAAAATGTGAAGTACAGCGTTAACATGTTATGGTTAGGGCTGCACTTCACATTTTCATATAAGCATAGTATAACACTAACTAATGATATCTGATAATGAATTCATGTAATATATATATGCTGCTGGTTAGCATAGCTCTGAGCAGGTCCGGGACATAGGGTGGGCAGGAGGGGCGGCTGCCCTGGGCACTGTGGTATCATGTGAGGTGGGAGGGCACCACAAGGAAATTTGGGAGAGGATATTTGTGTTTAGAGGGGAAATTTGGGGAGGTGTGCTAGGAGTGGTGAATTGTGTTGGGAGGGGGGATGGGGAAGAGGATTTCTGCTAGGAGGGGGTATTTGGAGGGTTTGTGCTAGATAAGGTACTATGGTAGAGCATGGGAGTGGATTTGTGCTAGAAGAAGACATTTTTTTGAGGGGTATTTGTGCTAGTAGCGATGATTGGGGGTATTTGTGCTGGGAGGTGGGATTTTGGAGTGGAGGGGAGAGGATTAGTTCTTGGACAGGAAATATGGGGGGGGAAAGGATCTGTGCTCGGAGAGGAAATCTGAGGGTTATAGGATTTGTGCTAAGAGGGGGAATTTTTTTTTGGGGGGGGGATTGTGCTGGGGGCATATGGGCATCAGTGCCACCTGTCAGTTCCAATAATTGCCACCTGTCAGTGCCCATCAATGCCACATACCAGTGGCCATCAGTGCACATCAATGCCACATACCAGTAGCCATCAGTACACATCAATGCCACATATCAGTGCCCATCAGAGCTCCCTTTCAGCCAACTATCAGTGCAGCCTATCAGTGCCACCTTGCAGTGCCCTCCGGGGATGCCTGTCAGTGCCCACCAGTGATGCCTGTCAATGCTCACCAGTGCCACCTATCAGAGTTGCCTATAAGTGCAGCCTATCAGTGCCCATCACTGTAGCCTATCAGTGCCCATCACTGCAGACTCATTAGCGCGCATCAGTGAAGGAGCAAAATTACTTATTTACAACATTTTATAACAGAAACTAAGAAAAAACTTTTTTTAAAAAACATTTTCAGTCTTTTTTAGTCTGTTTAGCAAAAAATAAAAATAAATTGTAGTGATTAAATACCACAAAAAGAAAGCTCTATCTGTTTCAAAAATTGATAAAAATGTTGTTTCGGTACAGTGTTGCATGACCGCGCAATTGTCAAAGTGCGACAACACTGAAATCTGAAAATTGTCCTGGGCAGGAAGGGGGTAAAAGTGCCCAGTAGGTAAGTGGTTAAACACAATACATTTCTGGTAATGCACTAGGCGTTTGCGCCCTCCTTTCTGCTTTTTTGTAGTTGTTTACTAGATTCTGTGATCTGAGGAAGGAAGGCTGCACAGACGGAGCATACCTGAAGGGTATTTACTTATTGCCACTGATGATCTGTTGCACGTTAAGACTTTATGGCAGCCCAAGATACATGAAGTGGGTGTATTTGTTAAGACTTTATGGCAGAATTCTAAGGAAGTGACTGTGTTTTTCATGCTCTTCCACATTCTATCCAAAATATTTACAAAGTTTTGTCCTTACATGCACTTTATATTTTCATGCATGTTGAAGCAAATTGTTTACATAATCCATACCTCTAATTTTAGACTGATGTTTGACAGTTGGTAATTCTGAAGGGACAATGTGAAGTCCTCATCAAATACTGGATTTTGACTGTTTTTCACCACCTTTGTTTCACATTCCTGAAGAACAGACTGGACATCAGACTGTGGCTCATCTACTTTGGAGTAGACTCTTATTCTGACAAAAGGGTCCCTACTGTAACTTGGTAAGTCTGTAGCTTCAATAACACTGAGAAGCAAGGTCATGGTCTTCTTACTGAAATGAATAGAAAACTTAAGCTTTCCTCTGGGCTCGCGTGGACGATCAGAGTCACTGCCTACTTCATCCAAACTTTCTGTACTTGGAGGGGAAGGTGTTAAATGTACTTCCAGCTTTTCCATTTCCTTCTGCATGAGTTGGATCTAGTTAGCAATCAGTAGCAGAAAAAAAGAATTATTTTCCAAAACAAAAGTCAAGATAGGAGAGTTACAATTATATGAAAACCCAACTGAAACCCAAGATTTTTCTTACTGTAATACAACCAGGCTGCATACACAGTATTATGTTTTATTTAACTGGTAAGTGCTGCTGCAAATACCCAGTGCTGCAGCAACCTGGAGAGTTCTTCCACACAAGGCAGTGGCCCAGATCTCCTGAAGTCCAGCACGGCCTCCAGAACTGCTTACATTGCTTTTGATTGATGCTTGGGGTTGGTGGGAGGGTGGTGTCTGACCACAGGAGATGCGGGATGCTGTTTTTGTGTGGGAGAGCCTCAGTCCAACTCTTCAGATTGCTGTACCATGGGATATTTTAACTCTTGGTGCAGCACTTCCTAATTAAATAATTAAAGAAGATCAGATTAACTGCAAATTAAGCCTGCCTACATTACAGTAATAAATTCTGAGGGTTCAATTTGGCTTTAGAAAAATAAACTTGCCTTTGAGTCCTGCTCCTTCCTTGCTGTCTCTAAGAAGTCTGGACTTAAACTTTTCACAAAAAGATTTCCTTCAGTCTTCTTTGCAACATTTGTAGCATTCATGAATTTTTTGTCTGTAATAAAATAACCAGTTTCATTAGATTAATGAGATTTCTATATATACAGTAAATATAAAATGCTTGTTTTCACTCAAAAGCACATAGTTATTGTATAGAAGGTTGCAAAAGACATACTACGGCCCTAAAAATACTCATGGATGGAAACAGCAGTGAAAATGCATAGGTGTTCAAATACAATTTATAATACCACAAATGTATCCAGAAAAAAAATAGCAAAATTGCATTAGAATTGCAGCAAAATCCAACCACAACTGCTTCTGAAATCGCACTTGAAAATGCATAGAAATTGTGCAGCGTCAGTGTGGACCAGGGCTGAAACCTCATACCCCACCAACTTCTTACCCTTCTCATAGCCAGTAGCAGAGCCCCAATTGTGCTGTTTATGTTGTTCATGTAATGAAGATCAACCAGTCTGAATGAACGGGGTTCTTAGCATACTATGTTATACAATATATAGGATTTCTGCACAATAACAGCTTTACTCCGTAAGTGAAAGAGCTATAAAGTCTTGACATCATTAAACCCTATGAACTCTGAGAAGACAATACACACATATTTTCATTTGAAGTGGCTAAGATGCTTTAATAGCTTTGAAAGATGGCAACATTTTTAACTTTGATCAGACAGAAAGCTATTTTAATATTGCTAAGGCAAAATCTTATCAGGGGCCATCACATTCATTTCTAGTTAAAATAAACACTAAAAAAAATCAACATAAAATTAAAAAAAGTACAAAAACTTCTACAGCAGAAATTTAGGGGGGAAATTTGTAAAACATGAGCACTGCCCTGAGTATAAACAAGACGACATAAAATTGTAAGAAAAGTTGCTAGTCAGTTTTATTTTTGTTGTGTAATTATATGGATAGGAAGAAAAGGTGGGCTTTGCTAAGGGGCTGCTGTTTTCTACCTATGCTGCTATATGCTTCTTACCTTTCCCAATTGAAGATGATTTATATTTATAATACTGGCGCATCTTGCATGCTAAAATAATCATTGCAGTCAGGAACAATCCTATGGCAAAGGCCAGTAGGCAGTATTTTAAAGTATCAGAAATTGGAAGAAAAATTTCAAAGTAAGGTGATTGGTGGCCCATTGTCCCTAAAATACAGAAAAAGCAGAGTTAGGACATTTATTCCGTTTTAAAAAATTGAAAATGAGGCAAACAACTGAATGCAAAGATGAAATACTGTACATAAACGGGATTGCATTTCTGTCCATTCACACCTAAGATTTACAGTTCTGCCACACAGCACTGAGTAGCAAAGACAGGAAACTTGATCTTCTGATCTGCAGTTAAAGTGGTAGTAAATTTTTCTTTACTATTATTACCTATAGGTAAGTTTATAATAAATCTGTAGGCACTGTTTAGGAGATATTCGCTCTCATTGATAGCTGGCACATGCTCTCTGAAGGAACGACATGCCCGTGCCATTCCTTCAGAGCACTGTGCCATGGCCTGAGACTCCCACACACATGCACAGGAGTGAGGTCATCACGACTCGGCCAGTCAGGAGGCTGGAGCTCGCAAACCCAGAGGGTAGATCGGGTGAAGATGGAAGTCCTGTCAGTGGTGACAGAGCTCTGCTGGAGGACTTTGTTTTAAGTTAAGACCTTCATAATTTTACCTATGGTTTACTAGCGCTTTAAATAACACAGATTTGTCCCTCCCCCAGTCTGTGACTTGACAGTGAAAGTAGAAGCACAAAACCGGTGAGTTCGTCAACGTGTACCATAATAGCACATAAGCATTGTAGCACAGCTGATTGGCTCATTGTGCTGCTTATCACTCCTCTCCCAGTGAGAGCCCTACTGTACTGGGACTGCAAGAGGCTAATACTAAGTCAATTTGAGTTACTTGCACTGTTTTGCATTTCAGAAATGCATTTAATGATGTATTAATGATTACAAAGCTGCACCAATTTTGTGTCTTTTATACTGTAGCAGCCTGGAGTTCAACTTATAAATAGTTTTGTACACAAACAAGGTCACTTACTCTGTTGGTAGGGACGAATTCACTTGAAAGCTGTCACTGGAGCATTTTTCTGGCTGGTTAATCCATTCTGCAAACATAACAGTCTACATTAAAATAAGAGGTTCTAGTGTTCAACAATGTATTGAAGTTAACAGTAGCAAACCCAAAATATTTGTCTCATGGATTGTAACCAAAAATACAGAGACCCATAGCAAAATTTTGATTGGATTCCCATTAGTGGTAGGTTGACTATAATGCTCCTTTTTTTACATTACCTTGAACGCTGGAGACCGGAGGTGGGTGGAATGAAAAAGAAGCCCTAAAAAAAAGATTTATAAGTCACCCCCCCTCTGATCACCAGCATTAAAGCGGAACTTTACTAATAACAAATTGATAAAGAAATAAGGTTCTTTAGCAAGCAATATACATTCCACATTAATAATTATGCTACCAAAATTAGTGTGTGTTGTGAATTGCCTGCACCATTGTTCCTGTTTCTTCTTGCTGGAGGCTGTCATTTTGCTGAAGCCCACAGCACCTGCTCTGCAGTAAATCATAAAGTGGAACTAAACCCATCGATTTATCGTTTTAAAAAAAAAAACAGTTACATTCCTGGAATGCCGAGATTGCTAACTGTCACTATTGCTAGTGTCCTCAACCAAAGAATTATCTTCCTTGTCTGTAAAGGATAGAAGGGTTTAATTCCGCTTTATGCTGTCAGTAGATCAGCCTCTACAAATTTGGAAGTGGCTAAGAAAATGGAGAGCAACTGAGCATGTGCAGAGCAGGGTAAGCCAGTGTACTACTGAATTTTAAACAGTATAGGCACTTATGTTTAATGTTTTACATAGCTATACCTGCAAAATGGGCCAGCCTGAAGTGATCTAGCAAGACTTAATTTTCTGACTAAAGTTCCACTTTAAGGGGGTGTAAAAATGGATGCATTTTAAAATCTCTAGCATTATTGGCTACTGTGATTAAACGCATAGTTCACCTTTACCAAAAAAGTGCCTATGCAGATGGGGCGTCTAGATAAAAACAAACTGTGTAGCTTTGACCAAAGTTGAATAATGCCCTTGCTATAGGTGTAGGCCATTTACATACCTCATGAAGCCTGACTGGAAAACTTCCAGGACCTTGTTAAGGATGTTCCTAGGAGAGTCCCAACTATAACTGTTCACCTCCACCATCACAGGAGTGAGCTCTTTCTCTGATTCAAACCCCACACATGCACCTTCTCCGTTGATGTAGTAGTTCTGAGCTCAGAATTTCAAAGCTCACTCCTGTGATGGTGAAGGTGAACAGTAACAGCAGAGCCCCTCTAAGCAACTTTCCAAAATCCAAGGAATGTTCCAGTCAGGCTTCATGAGGT